TTAACAGTGAGGGTGACAGAGCCCTGGAACAGGCTGCCCAGAGAGGTTGTGGAGTCTCCTTCTCTGGAGATCTTCAAAACCCACTTGGATGCAGTCCTGTGCCACGTGCTCTAGGTGTCCCTGCGTATGCAGGGGGGTTGGACTAGATGATCTCTAGAGGTCCCTTCCAACCCTAAGCATTCTATGATTCTATGATAATATTACAATTAGTGAATTGGACCTAGTTTTTTAAATATTTTTTCATACTGTCTTTTTACTGCACTGTATTTCTCTCAGAAAAAAGACATTAGATAATTCTATGCAAGTATGTCATTTCAATTACTTTGTAAGCATTGGTTGAACTCTGTGTAAATTCTTCAGTGTTACTGTATAATTCCAAAAAGTTACAATTTACCTTTCCTTAACATTTTAAACTAACCACACAATTTATTTACTTGGTCTTTTAAGGAAATACTCATATTTTAAGATACAGTTCACATTTTTAAAAAGACATATGCATTCCTACAAAGCAAAATTGCAGCTTAGTCTTTCGGGGTTTTCTGCCTAAATATTGTCTTTAAATAACAAGAAAACCAATTAATTAGGTTAAAGTAGGAATTAATAATATCAGCTGCAAACATAACAAAAAGCCTTACCAGAGGTAAACTAAAACATAAAATATGTAAAAAAGAAATAAGAAAATGAAATTAGAGGAAAAACAACTTTGAAGATATAAAAAAGATGTTCAATGTGAATTATCCTCATGAAAAACTGTCCAAATTCAAAACTGTCCAAAAACTGTCCTGATGCAGATTCATTTTTGTCCAGTATATCCTGAGCTGCTTTTCCACCAATTATTCCAGGAATAATGTATGAACGGGTCTGCTAAAAGATGTAGGTTCGGTCATTTACCTGCTAAACAGGTAAAATTAGGGTTTATTTATTTTATTTTTTATTTTTAATGCAGTCCCTAAAGTGAGCAACCATTTTACAGAACAAGAAAAAAAAAAGGCACTGAAAGAGCTGAACAATAAAGTTAATTTTCCTTCTGCTTGGAGACAACGTCAACTCCATCAAAAAAAGCAGCAAGGCTGAAAAATGAGGAAACAAATAGCAGCAATAGTAATATTATTCCAGAATTAAAATGCATGTGTTCAAGTTTTGTTTTTTTTTTTGGTCTTCTCAATCTTGAAGAACATATGCTAGAAGGAATGGCAGAAACTGAGGCGTAAAGACCTAGATATTATACATTTATTGAAAATTACATACCTTTATTTGGAGCACTGCAGTAGTCTAGCTGGTGGAGCCCATGGTAGTATATATCATCAGGATTTTTACCAAATAATAATAATAATAATAAAATAATGGAGACTGTCTCCAAAATGATTATTCCAAAATCTTAAATATTTGGAAAAATACAGCATGATCTTCTTTTTCTAGCTTCTAAACCAAGGAAAACTGTTCTTTGCTTCTATTGTGGCAAAAAAGTAAACATAATTTATAACAAATATTTCTTTTGCATTTCAAGTATCAGAAACAATGACTGTAACATAGAAAAACAGGATATTTTAATTTTAAAATCCTATTTTTTCCACATAATTAAAAGAATTGTATAAAACATCCTGTATGCAATTACTTATTAATAACACTGAATAAGAAAAAAACCTACTTTCGCATTCATTTCTGCATCTGTTCATAATAATCTTGCTTATGTTGTGACATACACAATCACATTTCTGAAGGGAAAAAAAAAAAAGTGTTTCACAATATTCTCAAACAATAATTTTAACGCTCCATTTTGCAATATAGATCACAAAGCCTGGATGGTAAATTTCTTCCTGGAGGATTTTCCACGTTAATGGAATAAGCAAACTTTCTTTTTCCATGGGCTCTATGTGAACACGTCTTACTATCTTTACTGATACAAAATCAGGAACTGGTGACCACAGCTAGGATGAGCTCTCTCCCCTTGGGGATCAGTGTCCCATACACAGAACTACCTCAGCAAAATTTAATTCCAAGTTCACGAATGATGATTTATCCTACAGGATCTTGGAAATGTTGCTCTGGGGCTACAGACTTGAAACAAACCAACAAACAAAACAAACAAACAACTCCCCTTCCCCCCCCCAAACACATACACACAATGAAGTTTTGATATGATATAATACTTGTAAATAAAGCCATTTATATGCTTTATCAAAATTTTGGATGCCTGTGTGTTTTCAAACTAAAACTGAGAATAAATCTGTTCACGATAAATACAAAGGACTCAGTGCAACTCACAAGGAATATTTATTTTATTCTCATTAAACCTTAAACTTTTTCTTACAAATTAAGAAGTGTGCAAACCCTTCAAACAGGCTTTAACTTACTGACTGAAAATACATAACACCACAGTGAAGTCTAACCTGTATTGTCTTTCTCCAGTGAGGCATTTTGTGTCACTTGCATACAGGCTTCTGGCTAGGATATTCCACTCTGGCAGGTGTGTTTTACCTTTATTCATCAAAGAATAATAAGCAGTGTACAAGGCTATACCTTTTGTTTGTAAGTTTGGGGCAGGGGAGAAGCTCACATTTTAAAATACTGTTCATAAAAGGCAATTCTCTTGCTCTCTTCAAATAAATTTTGATTTACTTTTAAAACTTCTTTTATTCTTTACTTTATAGGCTGGAGAATCCAGAAATTCTGTATCTGTAAACTGATCTCCACGCCTTAATTTGCTGCAAACAAAAGAAATAAAACAAACACCTATGGCAAATATGTAATTATAATAACAATTCCAAATGGTAAATACTATCAGTGAAAGCTTGACACACAAAATAAATTAAATCTATGAAGAAAAAAGGATGAAATAGCAAGATGTAGACAAAATTTGTTTTCCAAAAATAGTGCTGAAATCTTACTATTTTTATGTGAAACATATCACATTAATAATGCCCGTAATTTACTCCGTTAAGACAAAATGCAAAAAAAAAAGATCTAAACCACAGGCCTAATGGCATCCATTTGGGGAAGTCTACTTGAAAATGTAAAAAAAAGGAAAGAAACGGTACCCAAAATCTCTCTCTTTTTTTTTTTTTTTTTTGTTAGCTTATTGTCTCTCTCCAGAAATACAGACTTGAATCATTGTGGGATCTAACAGGGGAAGGTGTCAATATCATAATATCATAACATGATTTTAGTATGCAATTAAGATTAGTAAAACTTAACTCTTAATTCTTCTGCCTTCCTTTTACAGTTTTATGGCACAAATATCTCAAAAATACTAGTAACTAGTAGTACGAAAAGACACTTTCTTTGCTATTCTTGGTTCCTGTTTTTCCTTATTTCCATTGCTGTTCCTGTTTGCTTACTTATATATGTAAACGAAAATACATATATTTTTCTTCTCAAAACATTGGTGCATGAGAACATCAGACTAATTCTTTTTCAGTTCATAGGTTGATTTTCTTATTATTATGATTTAAGAAAACCTTGCTAATGTCTTTAGCTCATGGATGTGTACTCTACTAATGCATATAAACAGAGAGCTGATTTTTGCCTTAAATTAATATTACATTATTTCTTATCATAACAGAAATCTCTCAGAATATATCTTCAGAAATAATCAACTTAAAAGTCAATCAGGATTTAGGTCTACTCTGTTTGATATAAGTGCAAATACATTATTTTCTTAAGCAAGTATTTGATATTTAAATAATTTCTACTAATCTAATTGATATTACATAATTCCATCCTGTCTTCCTAAAAAATATATATATATATATATTAGGGATAGTTCTGCACTAAAAAAAATTTACTTCCACCTACCTGTTTATTTTTGGTTCTTTGTAGCAGAGTGGGGCTCTTTCTCGTCTTGCTCGTACTACTGAACTTTCTTCTAAAGTTTGGGAGGATTTAGACAAGGATGTACGATAACGTACACCAGCATTTGTCAGATCTTGCAAACCCTTTCTCCCTGTGAATACAGTAGTTAATATGCTTCATTCTAAACATTTTCTGAATCATTAAGTACATTATCACGTCATATATTTTTATTTAGTATTTATTTCACATAATTGGTTGCTGCTCCTAATCCGAAGATACTCATCAAACAATGGAATCTGTGAGCAAAAACACTGCCATGACAGCAGCATTCGCTGCTCTAGTCCGAGCTGTCTGAGGACTGCTACAACTGTTGGGACAGTCTAAGAAAGCTTCAAAAGTATTCTAAGTTCTAGAAAAAGTTCTAAGCTAGCTATTTAAGGCTTCCCCAAAGTTACTGCTATACTCAGAAAAAAAAAAAAAAAAAAAGGAAAATTGTAAACAGATCATGGCCTTAAATGTAGGGGGATGGCATATGATTATAATTCAAAGATTCAATCTGTATGAGGTTATATAGAACCACATTTTCCAACATTATGATAGTTTCGTTAAAAAAAAAATGTATCTATCATTAAGTGAATGACGTTTTTAAATTTGCATATCATGTAGATACTTACCGTGGCTCATGTTTTCAATCACGTAACATGCTAAAGAGAAACGTTATCTAAAAATTAGCCAACCTTGATAAACACAGCACTATTTCTGTTAACTTTCTGTAAACACTGGAGTTTTTAAGACAAATTCAGAATGTTACAATAAGTATCAATACTTAATGTGGAGAAAGGTACTGACATAATTACTTTAAGCCACATGAAAAAAATTCTAAACCATTCACAGTTTTTCTGGGAAACAGTGATTTAGTGCAGAGTGTAATCCAAGATGGAAAAGAATATATACCTTTAATCTGGATCCCCATAAAGGCTCTTCCAAGAACTATTCCTCATGGATACAGATCAGGTTTTGGACTTCATTCATCCAGAGAGCACTTTGGATTTAGTTTTGCAATAGAATTACAACTCTTACATTCATTTCCCAAGTTTGAAGTCTTTGCTCATCTTAGATCGGATGTAACGAAACACACATTCTATTTATCTCATAGAGGATACTGATATTGGATGAATGACAAATTTTCTTTTATGCCTATCCTGAACCTAATAAATTATAAGATTGTTTATATGTTAAAGAAACAAAGATTTTGTTTCTTCGCGACAACATCCATATCTTGCACACTCTTAACAAAACTGATAGTGCTACATGACCATCTCTCTGTAAAAGAATTCTGCACTGAAATCCAGTAAAATATCTTAGTGGAGAAGACTGTTATTTATAAATATTCCTCTAATTTACTGTTTTATGTCTCTGCTTATCACATTTGAGAGGCTCTTCATTTTATTTGTCCTAACTATACATGTAAGTGTACTAGGCATATTAAAGTGACTTTGGGTGACTTTGCAGGAAGTGCCTCAAGACTTATGAGTTCTTTTTTTTTTTTTTTCTTTTTTTTTCCCCTTTTCTTTTGACAGAATACATTTTTCCTTTAATGAAGAGCAGTGTCTACTTAATTTGAAAGAGAGGGGGCTCTCTCATGATGAAAGACCTCCCAACTCTGACTGTCCCAGAAATCAATCTTGACTTGATGAGGTTTAAATGAGAAGTAATTCTGACCCTAATTTCCTAAAAATGGAGGTGAGGAACCAGTTTAGCTTCTTTCTGAACAATGTTTTGAGACATGTATGTGTCAGAGTTATTTAAGGAAGCTGGATGCCTTTAAGCAAAAATGTTTACATTCAAACAGACATAACTAGATAGAAACTTTTGTGTCGCAAGATTTTCAAGCTGTCTTTTTAAGCACAGCTCAAGATAGTGATGCTGAGGAGCTGGGGTCATCAGAAAGCACTGTATTTCTTTTCATCCTTTTAATTCAAGGTAAAATGTATATGTTTTTGAATTTACAAAACAAAGAAATCTAAAATAGGAAAAAGCAACCACGAACTACCAAAGGAATCTTCCGTGTTCCAATTCTTCCAGTATACCTATTCCATGCTCTCACAAAATAGAAGATTTGTCAACAGTTTCATGGCATTCAAGTGAAGCTAAAGCAGTATTACACTAAGAATTCAGGAGTAGAATTCAGGATTAAATCTATTAATCTGAGCTAGGAAACGGACTCTAGCATAGATGTGTTACTCATACATTCCTTTACCACGTTTACAGTGATTTCACTGTATAATAAAATAAGTTAGAAGTTCTATTTTATAGACTATTGCAAAGTTTGATTTTTTACCTGAATATACCTACTAAAAAAAAAAAAAAAGGTTATCATATGCAAGCATACTCATAAGCAGACGCTACAGAAGATCCACTCAAATATCTTCTCTAAATGTCCTGGCTATTTTTAATTCCCTTTGAATTGTGTTCCTACAGAATTACGGATTAAACCTGCAAACTTGGTTAACTTTGTCCTCTATATAGAAAGGAAACAATGTAGTTCACTGATCTCTTTTGTGCTATGGTCCAAACTATTTGTATCTTTTTATCCCTAACTAATCCTAACCACTCTTTAGTAAAATTAGTACAGGCTCCAAATTTAACTGTTTCTCAAGAATGTAGACTACTTATATCTGCCAGGCTAAACATCATCCTGGAATATATTACAAAATAATAGGAATAGTAATTACAACTTGGAAGTACATCATGACTGATAACATGGCAGAGGATATGAATAATGATAGTGATTTTCTGTCTTACCTTCCACCACTCAGATTTTAGCTGGTCTAAGTAAGGAATAAGAACAGGGTAGCATTCAGTGAAGGTTCCCTACCACTATTCCAGGAATTACGCAATTGAAAAAAGCCCTTTTTTTCCATCCCCCCATATACTCACACACCCCATGAACTCACCATGATAAGCTGTCAGAGACTTTTTACAAGTTTCTGTAGGAGCACGAACCGTTTTTTTCTCTGCTATTTCAGCACCCAGTGTCTTAGCATGATCATTTTTTCCACAGATTTCATGTTTTTTCGGGATAGACAAGTCCGCAGAAACATTATGGCAATCAGCAAATGGCAGCTCCATATAC